GTGTGGGGAAGACCTCTCCTCCAGGAGAGCGTAACAGGAACAGCTCTTAAAAGAGCTAAGTGATTAAAAGCTCAGGGGAGTATGCAGAGCATAGCAATCCCCAGTGTGATATAGCAGTTCCCTCCAATAACGAGACAAGGCTACGTATTGAGGGTCAAGAAGATCTGTTTACTTGGCACCAAAGGGCCTTCTTTTATGCAGGTTTCCCTGAGATAGGACCACCCACAGGGGTTTACAGAATAACCAATCATAAACGTACATTACAGAAACACTCCCAGCAATTACACACAAAAATCCTCCCCTCTGCCTGTGATCTAATTATGGCACACAATGGGTTAACATAATTAAACACAGGCAGTAAAAATACAGTTTTTATACATGTACTATAACTTTCAAACTACACATCCAATCTTCATAAAAATTACATATTTGGAATCAATCCATTAAGGGGAGCAACATATTAAAAAATGGCACAAATCAGACAAGGGGTTCAAAAGTTAGCAAAAGTGTCTTTTGGGGCCTGGCTGGCAGCATGGTTTTCTGGCCCAAACTGGTTTTACAGAGGCCTCTATCCTGGACAATGGGGAAAGTAATCCAATTATCCAGGGATAGAGGCAGACTCCATTAACCACATGTTAGCAAAAGACACAAAAAGACACAAAAATACATAACTCCTATTGAACTGAACAGAACCCCCACATTCAACCTATCCCCAGATGGCTTGGATCTGAGCGCTCAATATATCCAAACAGCGCTCAGATCCCACAAATACAGTCAAATCGCCATACACACTAGGTCCATAGTCATGGGGCAGAAGCCGGGCAATTAGGCTTCTCCATAACACAAGGAAGCAGGGCAATTTGTCAAATAAAATAACAGTTACAAATGGCAGTTTGTAACAATCGTAAATTCCGGAGAGGCAGACATAGCTCTCCAACCTTTTTGGCTGAAATAATTGCCACCAAGAAAGCCATTTAGAACGTCAATATTTTCAAAGAAACCTCTTGCAAAGATACGAAGGGCGAAATGCACATTGCCTTAAGCACTACAGATAAATCCCATGTGGGAAAGGTAGACACAAGGAGGACGTTTAAGAGAAACAGACTTCAAGAATCTATGAAGAAGTCTGTTTGATACCAAATCTTTTAATAAAAAAAAAAAATGACTGAGGGCAGACACTTGAACTTTAAGTGAAGATACACTAACCCCTGAGTTGAAGCCTGATTGAAGAAAAGCCAGGATACAAAGAATGGAAGACCAATCGCCTTCAAAATCCCTAGACAGGCACCACTGTAATTTTTTTTGCCAGATTCTGAGGTAAATCTTAGTTGTAAAATTACAAGTGGAGGCACGGAGGGTGTCACAGATCGCATCCGAAATACTCTGCTCCGTTAAAATTACCCTTGCAGCAGCCAGGCCGTCAATCAAAACATCCTCAGAGTTTCCACAGGGACATCTGGGTGTTCCAGTAAGGTTGGAGAGTAAGGAAGAACCCACTGAGAGACTGCCAACTGATTGATTTTGGAAAACCAGCTCCGGTTTGGCCAGTAGGGGAGGATAGCTAAAACTCTTGCCTTGTCTGTACAATTCAAGCTATTAAAGCTACTGGAGTGAAGATGAAGGCCAACATGAACTTTCAAGGGATTGAGAATCCGTCCTGAACTAGTGTGTGATCTTGTTTTATAATGGAAGCAAAGTTGTTTATTTTTGCGTTCCGTTTGTTGGCAATACGATCCATCTCTGGTAGTCTGAACCTTCTGACTAGCATCTTGAGTGTATCTGGATGAAAGGACCATTCTGTCTGAGTCCAGCGTTGTGTGCTCCGATCATCTGCCACAATATTATTTGAGCCATTGATGTAAGTTGCTGAAATTAACTCTAGTTCCATCTGAGCCCAAGCCATGGCCTGGGCACATAGCCTTTGCAATGTCATAACCTTTGTACCGCCCTGACGGTTCAGGTAAGACACAGTAGTGAGATTGTCTGACTGAATTCTCACTGATTTGTCTGATTTCTAAATTGAGATTTCAAAGGGCCGTCCATACCGCAGCCAATTCCTTGTAGTTTAAGGACTGTGCAGCTTCCTCTTGGGACCAGAAACCTAGGTGAAACAGTGATCCCAGATGTGCACCCTAACCTGTGACTGAAGCATCCGTATTTATGGTGACCAAATTCCTTTGCTTGAATCAGAGACAGTTTGTCATGAATCTTGAATCTATCCACCAATTCATTTGGGTCTTTTCTCCAACCAAAATCAGGATCTCTTTGACCAGATCTTCTCTTTTGGACCATTTTGACAGGAGGTCCCGTTGTAAATGTCTGATCTGAGATATTGCCCACTTCACTGCCGGAATGGAGGATGTAAGTAGACCTAAGCAGCTCATTGCTTGTCTGATAGTACAGCGATCCCTTCTCTGAAGCATACAAATCTCCTGCTTTAGTCTCCTTAGCAAGTAGATTTTTTGAGCTACAGAATCTACCAAAAGGAAATAGAATTATTGTGATGGGAAACAATTCAGAATTTATTATCCAACCGTGAGACTGCATGAACTGAGTGGTTAACTAAAGATTCCTTTTCAGTTCCCTTGAGTGTGCCTTCAGCAGCCAATCATCTAAGTAAGGGACGATGGCTATGCCTTTTAATCTCAGCGCAGCTGTGAAAGGTAAAAGGATCTTCTTGAATATACGAGGAGCTGAAGAAAGGCCAAATGGAAGTGCCCTGAATTGGAAATGGAGAATCTTTTGTTTGCTTGATTTCACTGCAAACCTGAGGAACTTTCTTGAGCTTGTGGCCATAGGCACATGAAGATAAGCATCCTTGAGATCTATTTTCGCCATGTATTCTCCCTTCTGTAGGATGTGAGTAAGGATATTTGAGTAAGGATATTTTCCATGCGGAAACGTTGGTACGGCATGCAGGAGTTTACTGCCTTAAGGTCTAGAATAGGGCGAAGACTTTTATCTGTTTTTTGAACAAAAAACAGACTAGAGTATACCCCTTGAAACTCTTGATATTTTGGTACTCTATGACCCCTTTGTGTAAGAGGGACAGTGAGAAGGGCTCGTGACTTCTTTGAATTGTAGGTTGACACCAGGAATTCTGAAGGTGTTCTTTATTCTGTAACCTTCTTCTATAGTATGCCATATCCATTTGTTGGAAATAGTTTCTTTCCATTGTGGAACAAAGTATTTTAGACAACCTCCCACTCTTCTGGCATCAATACTTTCTTCTTTTATCTTTGTTTTGGTAGCCTAAACTTCCTTGGTATTCTCTTGCCTTCATGAAAGGGTTTCCGAAATATCCTAGATTTAGCTTGAAACTGAAACTGTCTTTGCCTTTTGTACTGAAATCTCCTGGAGTTAGAGGCTCAATTCTTGAGGCAGGGCCTTTTTAGTATCCACCATCTGTTTAATGATGTCTTCCAGTGCAGATCCAAACAACTTGCTCTTCTCAAAGGGCAGCTCGCATAGATTCACCTTAGATGCAGTATCTGTCGTCCAAGATCTGAGCCACAAGGCCCTTCTGGCCACTGATGATAGACCCATAATTCTGGCGGATAGTATGAGAACTTCTTCGGTCATATCTTGAATAAATTCATTAGAGAGCCGTAACAGGTGGAATAATTGTGACAGTTGTTTGTCCTCTTTTTCCGCAAACATATCCTCCAAGGAAAGGAGCCAGGCACCATGGGCCTTTGCAACTGCTGCTCATGAAATTGCTGCCTTGCATTGATAACCTGCAGCCTGATAAGCCGTTCTGCATGATGTTTCTGGGCATTTATCCATTTATCCTTTAAACCTGAAACTTCCCCTATAGGAATAGTGGTTTTCTTGAAGAGCTGGGCCACTTTGATGTCAACCTTTGGCAGATCTTCCCATCTTTCTTCAATTTTTAACTTGATTAGTTTAAAGGACCACTCTAGGCACCCAGACCACTTCAGCTTAATGAAGTGGTCTGGGTGCCAGGTCCAGCTAGGGTTAACCCATTTTTTCATAAACATAGCAGTTTAGGAGAAACGGCTATGTTTATGAATGGGTTAAGCCTTCCCCTATTTCCTCTAGTGGCTGTCTCATTGACAGCCGCTAGAGGCGCTTGCATGCTTCTCACTGTGATTTTCACAGTGAGAGCACGCCAGCGTCCATAGGAAAGCATTATGAATGCTTTCCTATGTGACCGGCTGAATGCGCGCGCAGCTCTTGCCGCACGTGCGCATTCAGCCGACGGGAGGAGAAGAGGAGGATCGGAGGAGGAGAGCTCTCCGCCCAGCGCTGGAAAAAGGTAAGTTTTAACCCCTTTCCCCTTTCCAGAGCCGGGCGGGAGGAGGTCCCTGAGGGTGGGGGCACCCTCAGGGCACTATAGTGCCAGGAAAACGAGTATGTTTTCCTGGCACTATAGTGATCCTTTAAAGTGTTTAGAAAAGCGCACCGTTCAGGATTTTTCCACTACCTCTGGAGCAGCTCCAGAATCCTGGGATTAGTGGGAAAACATTTTGCCTTATTTTTAGCAGGTTCCACTCCCTGAAGCTAGGCAGCAACTTCCTTAACCAATATTTTAAGTTCCTCTGGAGGAAAGCCTTCATCCAGACTGGAAACATCTGATCTCGAAGAACTTGAACAATACCCTGAAGGCAGTTCTGATTGAGAAGATGACCTTAAATGCTTAAGTTTTTTTTATCTTCTGAAATATAATAAATTATAATCACTAAATACAATAGAAACAGAAATAGAATATGAGGCATTTCATAGGAGAGACCAATTCATCTCACCTCAAAATATCTCACTGCCATGTGGGCTGGTGACATGATGAACTGGATACTGGTGACCACCCTTTTAAATTTGTAATTTTGCTGTAATTTTCCGAAGTTCCAATTGAGCATGCACATTGGCGCAATCGGAACTTCAGTGGAAGGCAAAGCCACCCGGGCGTGCGTTCCACTGCTGTGCGCAGGTGCCTGGCCTGCACGTGGATTGGATGGCAGCCTTCCACTCACGTTCCGTAACGCTCATGTGGAAGGGGTATTACGCAGCTCACCCCCAGGGTAGCTTTCAGGTCCAGCTCTCCCTGGCTGCAACCTGTGAGCATCTTGTCCATCTTGTTGCAGGGACAAGAAGAACTGAGGATTAAATGAGGTTGCTGCCTTTTATGAGCAGGTATGCGGGAGTATTTAAATTTCTATATATTTCAGAGCTTCTTGTGCACAGAAGAGGGAACAACGCACTTGTACATTACTGCCAGTTACAACAGGAAAATACATATTTAGCTTACATAATGGCATTGTTAATTATGTTAAGTATTTTACATTGATAACTCACATATTCACCACTGTACAAGCCAGATCTGTAAAGCTGCTAACAGTTGTGTTAATTTCTCTTTTGTATCACACATTGCCAAGTATCTTGGAAGACTTTACCAATGAGGTGGCCTCAAACCTTGGTTTCCCCTTGCATCTGTGTGCACCTGCCCTAATGTTATGGCAGCTCCAGCTCCAAATCCTGATCCTAAGGTACTTCTTCAAAATGCTATTTTACTGAATAACACATGTATATACAATACTTTTTAACAGAGTCAATTTTACCAATATGTGTTCTTATAAATAGTCCCATGGAGTTTCTGCTGCATTCCCATATATTGTTGACCTCCCACAACCTCCCCTCCTTGCCTGTTTAGAATACCCACCTAGCCTGTTTAGACTATATTTAATAGTCACCATTACTGACCTTCTACTTATATTGTGAATCCGTGCCACCAGTCCTGACATTCTGCCCCACAAAAACTAGGAGGTATGAGAACACAATAGGAAGGATGTTGAAGGAGACAAAAAATAAACATTTTGGGAAAGAAACAGAACTGGAGGTGAGAGTGGAGTGTGACCCTTTAGGAGAGAGACAGAGGCAGGTTTGTGAGATAGACGTTTCTCTGGGAGGCCATAAGCATTCCTGAGGGACTGTTTTGAGGGACTTCTTAAAGGTTTGAAGACTAGGGGAGAGTCTGACCGAAGTAGGCAGGTTGTTCCAAAGTAAAGGAGCCACCTGCGAGATGTCCTGCAGGCATGAATTTGAAGTAAGGGTGCGAGCAGTAGACAGATGAAGATCACCAGTAGAGCAGAGAGACCGAGAGGGGGCATATATATGAATCAGTTAATAAATCTAAGAGGGGCTAGAGTTGGTTAGAGCTTCATAGGCAAGGGTTAGTATTTTGAATTGACACCTGTAGAGTACAGGAAGCCAGTGTAAGGATCAAAAGAGGGACGAGGTGTGAGTGGAGTGACAGGGAAAAAAAATCTGCCTGGTAGCAGAATTCATCACAGATTGTAGGGGGGCAGTATGACTTCTGGGGAAACCAATTAGGAGAGAATTACAGTAATCCACAATAGAGGTTACTAGAGCATGAACAAGGTCCTTGGCTGCATCTTGCGTAAGAAAGGGGCGGACGCGGGGCAATGTTTTTAAGGTGGAATTGACAGGTTTTAGCAACAGACTGGACGAGGCACAAACCTCACGTTTGTGCCTCATGTCCAGTTTGTTGCTAAAATCAGTCGATCAAAAATGACACCTAGACAGTGTGTTTGCAAGGATACCATCATGCAGATACCATCAACCTGCAGGGAGAGTGAAAGAGGAGGATCAGTATCAGATTCCCTGTCCCTGGATTAAAAAGCTCTCTGTTCCATTCGCCTGTCTGTTCAATAGATTGCATTCCCATTTTCTTCTAACATTGTCCTGTTCGAATACCAAACAACCGCACGAACCGGGTACCACCCAGGACCTTGTTAGCACCTATTTACACCTTGGAATGGTTCTCACTGCACTGTTCTCATTGTTCGTCTGGGTGGCCGCAATTCCTATGGACAACCACGAGGTGGTGGCCATCTTGTTCGCATAAACGCAGGCAGCGGTGTTTGGGCATGAATATCATGGAACTAAAAATCCATAAGGCAATAAGAAAAATTCACAGGCACTCTAAATATGAAAGCCACAGGCAGATTTATTGCAACGAAATGAACAGCAACGTTTCGACCTAACAAGAGGTCTTTGTCAAGCTCTTGTTAGGTTGAAACATTGCTATTCATGATTTGCAATAAATCTGCCTGTGGCTTTCACATTTGGAGTGCCCGTGAACTTTTCTTATTGCCTTATCATATTATCGTATTGGGATTGCTGGTCCTGTTCCAGAGCACCTGTAGCCGTTAGCAGTGAGTGCGGTTTCTGCAACCAACTGGAACTAAAAAAGAGGGGTTACCTTAGCAGCCACAAAAACTTACTTACAAATAACACTGGCCGCTAGACAATCAATAGCAACCAATTGGCTCAAACAGGATCTACCTAGCATTACAGAAAGCATTGATGGAGGACAATAGAATTATGGACCAACTCACTGCAACGACTAGAAATACCCTTACTTCTTTGCACAAAATATGGTCTATGTGGGATGAATATGTTAACTAGAATTAATATAAGAGATTAGAGCTAGTCACCATCGTGACCACTGTGGCACCTATCACTCCTATTCCCCTTCCTTTTTTTTCTTGTTTATTGTTTTAGTATTGGATTGCTCTTTTTGTATTCCAGGCAGGTGGTATGAGAACAGATAGGCTCACAAAATGCAATATGAGTAGGTATCCTTGCTCACACGGACACAGATCTGGCTCTTCTTGACATCTGACATCTTCAATGTATAATACCCCAGGTCTACAACCCAATATTTACTTGGTTCTTTTGTTCTTCTTTTTGTGTTCCTTTTTTGTATTGTTGCTATAAAATCCATGGAATGGATCAATCTCTTGTCCTGAAATGTGCAAATACTTATTAATTCATCAATTTAATAATAATTTTAAAAAAAAGTGAAATTCAAATTTGAGACCAAAGTAGACAAACTGGAACTTTTACAGTTCAAAGTTCAACATTTAATTCAAAACATACAAGAAAATTAAGTTAGTTTTATTTATTAATTATTCATAATTGTTTAGTGATGTGGATGAATTAATTCTTTGAAAAGCTATGAATGACAAGTCGGGGAGTTTGTAGGTACCTGTAGTAGCTGATATTTTACAGGAATCCAGGGTTAAGGCCCAGACAGTTTTGTTCTAATAGAGTTGGCAAGCAAAGTAATATTTATGTTAAAATGATTGTGTTTAAACATGTTTATTGTTGTTTGTAAAACCTTTAGAAGATTCCACTGCTGATTCAATCGGACACAGAAACTCCCAAACACCACTGGACTTCCATCATCGCCTGCGTTTGGTTCTACACAATTTAGAAGGGCACTGTTCGGTGGAATCCATCGTCTGAATAAGCTCCAGGGTAAGACCATTGACTATGTTCGGTAGTTTGTTCGTTTTTAAACTACTGAACTAGACCGACCGCTAGCCCTGATTCCCTGGAACTGTTTTAGGCATAGGACCATGTGCAAGCTTGGTCAAAAATAAGACTTCCAGGAATTTCCGAACAGATCTGGGTGATTCTTGGATATGTTGTCCACTCAGATCGGGGCTATCAGGGGATATAACTTGTGTGGGTTTTGTATGTTTTAAAGGTATTTTGGGGGTTTTATAAAAATATGTGTGTGTCTGGAGATAATTGAGTTAATAGGAGGGATTGGAAAAAGAAAAGAAAAAGTAAGGGCTGTGCCAGAGGAAACTAAAATAACAAATAGTCCAGTGATATATAAAAATATAAATATAAGAAAGTCTTATCTAAAATAGTAATAGTAATAGTAAATCGTAATCGTAGAGTCTTAATCGTAAATGTTATATATCTGCTTGAATGCCCCTGTGGCCTCCAAATGTTGGAATGACCACAAGGTGCTTAAAAACGCGTTTAAGCGAACATTGCAGAAATATTAAAAACGGATATCTGAATCATTCAGTATCCAAACATTTTATTATGCATAATAAAGATCCAAAGTTATTGAAATGTATTGGAATAAAGAAATGTACGACCCCTTGGAGGGGCGGCAATATTAAAAATATTTTAGGCAAAATAGAAATGGAATGGGTGTATAGACTCCAAACCCTGACACCACATGGTCTTAATACAGATTTTGATCTGTTTAATTTCTATAAATTTCCTTTATTCCTACATTTTATTTGGATGTTTTTAGTATGTTTTTATATATGATATTGTATTAATATTTCCAATTCTGATTTTTTTACTCTCAAATTGTTTTTAGTGTATATTTTATCACTTATGGTTTTTATTTTCATTGAGTATTTTTAATACATATTCCTTTTTTTTATTATTATCATAATTTTCTTTTTATTATCATTATTTCTCTTATTATCATTATTTTAACCATTATTTTTATTACTTATACTCTTTATATCTGTTTCATCCCCTGGTTGGCTGCAGCTTTGTGCCAGCCGACAGGGGTTTTCTCCTTGTTTATGGTCGCTATGCACAAGGCTGCAGCCGTCGTCTATACTTCCGGTTTCCTTTCAGTGACGGCGGCAGAAGCTCAGTGCATGCCACCATCACTACTAACCCCGCCCCCTTCCATTTCATCATTCCCCTTCCATTTCAGCCGCAAGAGCTGTGTGCTGACGTTCCCTTCCCCCCTTCCTTATATAGACGCCGTTGGCTGCGCAGTGCACGCCAGCGTCTAACTACATGTCCCAGCATGCACTTTGTCCCTTTTGCTGATCACGTGATCGGCAAAAAGGCTTTTTATTTATCTACACAGCACTCGTTTTTTATACATTTCTATGCTATATAGCTCCTCATATTACACACAATATATGTATGTTATAGTTTATCAGTTATTTTTCCATTATAATTATTTTATCTTTATTTCAATTTTGATTGGCTGCTCATTTTTTGGCGCCAATTTTCAAATGTCTTTAGTTGCTATATAAACTATTTGATGCCAGGTATCAGGTTCTTACTCCATATTGATAAAGCCGTGTTGGCGAAACGCGTTTATGGATATTATTCTGTGTATTTTTATATATTAAAAGTTTATTTGGTTACTCTTTATCTGTGCCATATATCTTTTTATACACATTTATTTATTTTGCGACCTGGCATCTTCTCTACATCTCGGACTCCAAGCAATCCTAGGTGGGGATCATACCACCAGCGCCTACGTTTAGGAGCAGTTGTTCTGCTCTTGTCTTGTGAGTACCTATTTTTATGTTATTTTATGTCAGTACTCAGTGTACACTATTGGCTGTCTCTTTTTATCTGAGTACTGGACACACCGTCAATGGAGGAAGCTCACCGTACATCCTACAAGCAGGGATCAAACCGCTGTACGCCTTCTATACCGGAGCGAGTTTTACGCTCTGGCAAATGTGAGTTTTATTTCAACTTTTTATTATTTCTTCAGTTTTAAGCATATTGCACTATTTGGGTCTCTACTTTTATTTTATTTTACATATACCTACGGACTCCCACTGAGGATTATTCCAAGCACCACCATTCTGGATCAAGCCCGTACAGACTCTATGATTACGACAAGACTATTTTAGATAAGACTTTCTTATATTTATATTTTTATATATCACTGGACTATTTGTTATTTTAGTTTCCTCTGGCGCAGCCCTTACTTTTTCTTTTCTTTTTTCAGTTCTATTCCTAAGGGTTCTTTGAGGGATTCCCTTATAGGGTTTCTGCCAATATATTAGTTAGCGCTTACTCATTGTTTTATCTTGTTTTAATAGGAGGGATTGACCTAGTTTGTATGGGAGTGTCCTGGATCTGAGAGCCAATGTGATTGTGTATTTGTTTCTACTGTGTTAATTCTCGGGTCCAGGGGGGAGTGCCCCTTGCATGGGGACTGTCATAAAAGGCCAAGTGTGGTCCCATTAAAGTCAGTTCACTTCACCCTCAACACGCAGCCTCGTCTCGTGATTTTAGGAAACAGCTTTATCAGCTATACCTGCTTCGGATTGCTCTACTGGTGATGATCACTAGCTCTTGTAAGCGCTACACAGTTATACCTGCTAGACTCTCTGGAGTAGGAGAGGTCCCACTGGAGGTTGGATCCTGGGCTTGGGTCCAGGGTGGGTGGAGGACAGCGAGACCCCAGCCAAGCTACGGCGGCTAAGGGGTGCTTATGGTGTCTAGTACAGTGCTTATAGTACTCCAGACTACTAGGAAGCAGTGATTGACAGAGGCACTCAGTCGGGGTGCCAGGCAGTCCATCATAATAAGAAACTCCATTTTAGAGAGATTGAGATTTCTTCCAGTGAGAGATGGAAGAAAGACAATTGGTGACAAATTGTAGGACAGCAGGTTAGAGGTCAAGGGAGAAGAGATATTTGGGTGTCATCAGCGTGCAGGTGGTAGTGAAATCCAAATAATTGTTGAGTTTGCCAAGAGAGGGGACCTAGAAGGGAATCTTGAGGGACTGACAGAGAAAGGACAAGGGGAGAAGGTGTCAATGGTAAAGTAGACACTGAATGAACATTGGGAGACAGTGGCGTACACATGACCCCTGGGGCCCCGGTGCGAAAATTGATCCGTGGGCCCCCCGCGCGCGCGCGGGCCGGACCGCAACACATGGCGGTGGGCACCTGGTCGCAGGGGTTACAGGGCTGCGACCCCTGCGACCACGGTATGTACGCCAGTGCATGCAGATGCACACACACTTAAAGGGCCACTCTAGGCACCCAGACAACTTCAGCTTAATGAAGTGGTCTGGGTGCCAGGTCCAGCTAGGGTTAACCCATTTTTTCATAAACATAGCAGTTTCAGAGAAACTGCTATGTTTATGAATGGGTTATGCCTTCCCCTATTTCCTCTAGCGGCTGTCTCATTGACAGCCGCTAGAGGCGCTTGCGTGCTTCTTACTGTGATTTTCACAGTGAGAGCACGCCAGCGTCCATAGGAAAGCATTATGAATGCTTTCCTATGTGACCGGCTGAATGCGCGCGCAGCTCTTGCCGCGTGTGCGCATACAGCCGACGGGGAGGAGAAGAGGAGGATCGGAGGAGGAGAGCTCTCCGCCCAGCGCTGGAAAAAGGTAAGTTTTACCCCTTTCCAGAGCTGGGCGGGAGGGGGCCCCTGAGGGTGGGGGCACCCTCAAGGCACTATAGTGCCAGGAAAACGAGTATGTTTTCCTGGCACTATAGTGGTCCTTTAAAGGACCACTACAGACACCCAGATCACATCAGCTCAATGAAGTGTCTGGGTGTCAGGTCCCTCTAGTTTTAACCCTGCAGCTGAAAACATAGCAGTTTCAGAGAAACTGCTATGTTTCACTGAGGGTTAATCCAGCCTCTAGTGGCTGTCTCACTGACAACCGCTACAGGAGCACACTGAACGTCCATAGGAAAGCATTGAGTAATGCTTTCCTATGGGCGGTTTGAATGCGTGCGCGGTCGCATTCGGAGCTGAGGGATCCCCAGCGCCAAGGGAGTCCGGCGCTGGAGAAAGGTAAGTGCTGAAGACACACACACTCTCACTTACAGACGCATACACACTAGCTAACAGACACACACCTCAGTGACAGACATACACATACACACACACACACTTACAGACTCCATACACACTAGCTAACAGACACACACATTTACTGACAGAGACACACTCAGCAACAGACATACATACACACTCACTTACAAAACATACACTCTCATTGACAAACACACACTCACTAACAGACATCAAACAGACTCACTAACACACACACACAGTAAACACACACAGTAACACACCTCAGACACTCACTCAGACACACACACTAACACTCACTCACACTCACTAGCAGACACACACACTAACACTCACACACACACTGCACTCATACACTAACACTCACTAGCAGACACACACACTAACACTCACACACACACTAACACTCACTAACACTAACACACTCACACTAACACTCACTAGCAGACACACACACTAACACTCACTAACACTCACACACTAACACTCACTAGCAGACACACACACTAACACTCACTAACACTCACACACTAACACTCACTAACACTCAACACTCACTCTAACACTCACTCTAACACTCACTCTAACACTCACTCTAACACTCACTCTAACACTCACTCACACTCAAACACTAACACTTATTTTTTTTTATTTTATTTAATCCCCCCAGCCTCCTTACCTTTTGGAGTGCTGGGGGGGGATTATTCCCTGGGGTCCAGTGGGGCTCCTGGGCGGATGGCCGGAGCAGGCGGGCGGGCGAGGGAGCACTCAGTGCTTCCTCTTCAGCTCCCTCGCACGCCGCGTAGGGATGCCGGAGCCGGAAGATGACGTCATCTTCCGGCTCCGGTATCAGTGCGGTGCGCGAGGGAGCTGAAGAGGAAGCACTGAGTGCTCCCTCGCGCGCCCGCCTGCCCGACCGGCCACCCGCCTGCCTGGGGTCAGCAGGGCCAGCCTCAGGGGGGCCCTGGGGTGGCCGGCTCCTGGCCCTCCAGGGGAAGAGGCTGGCCCTGGGCGTACATACCGGGTCGCAGCCGCGACCCCTGCGACCCTGGTATGTACGCCAGTGTTGGGAGAGATAGGAGGAGAACTATAAGAGGGCTGTGTCACAGAAACCAAGAGATTGAAGAGTTAGGAGAAGAAGACCATGATCAACTGTGTCAAAGGCAGCAGAGAGGTCAAGAAGAAGTAGTATGGAGTACTGGCCTTTGGATTTAGCTGAAATAAGATCATTTTTTAACTTTAATCAGAGCAGTCTTTGTGGAGTGGAGGGGGCGAAATACAGACTGAAGAGGGTCGAGGAGAGAGTTGGAATTGAGGAAGCCAGTCAGATGGGTAAAGACAAATCTTTCCAGAAGCTTTGAGGAAAAAAGGTAACAGGGATATGGGACGATAGTTAGAGGGGGAGGACGGGTCAAGAGATGGCTTTTTTAGGAATGGTAGAAAAGTAGCATTTTTAAGGGGGGCATGGACAACACCAGAAGAAAGAGAGCAAGTGATGCCATTTGCATTACTGGTAGTGTCAAAATGGTCCCATCTGTAAAAAGGTGAGACTACCTAGAAAAGAGTCATGTCAGTCTGGCATGAATCGCAAGAAAGCCTACTTGTCTATCCCTGCAAAAGGAAGACTGTGCATACAACTCTAACAGTAGTGTGCTCTGCATGGTCCTAATGCCCACAGGACAACCCAAGTGTGTATAATGATGTACTTACATTGCGCTTACTGAGGAAAGTCTCATGGTGTTTATGGATGCGAAAGGCCTGCGGCCAACCTCAGGGCCACCATCAGGGGTTGACCATTTAGGGCCATCCAATGGGCCCTATATATTCAGGTGCCCAGTCAGCGCTTCAGCCTTGTAATAGCGCGACTGGGCCGCAAGTTGTGCTTGGAGGAAGTGACGGCCGCGCGGGATGGAGGAAGCAGACTGAAGGCCGCAAGGAGAGGAGAGCAGCCGACTTCCATCATCCCCAGATTTTAGTTGCCCAGCTTAAAATATCAGGACTCAAACTTTCACACTACTAGCCTAATATATCACACAATATATCAACAAATAAAAGTATAATTTCCTACCTACCCACTTAATTGTTAATGCAACTAACGACAAAGCAAAACCACCTATCTCCTATAGTACTTCAAACTTATTGAGATACAACCTGTTGCTACTTTTAAACCATTTCTCCAAAGTAAAAAAGAACAAAAAAAACAAAAAACTGACCTATGCATCTTATCTCAGTTTTACATGGAAGTACACTTTGGCACAACATTATTGATATGAATGACTGGCAACATCCTGTATGCTGAAACCACAAATTCCTATTATATCAACATACACTACTACACCCATTTCTATTGTATGATAGGAATCATACAATATAGAATTCAGGTTTTTTCTTAAAAGGTTAGTAATACTTTAATGTGACTTGTTCTTACCAATTGGAGGCACTATATTCACACACACACTTCTAAACTATTTGTTAAGTGTATCAAATGAAAAGTGAATTTAAAATGAATTTCAAATTTAAAACAACGCTATAGGGTCAGGAACACAAACATGTGTTTCTGACCCTATAGTGTTAAAACCACCATCTAGCCAGGGGGGCTAGATTGGTACCACCTTGCCTCCCTAAGTATAGTAAAACCTTACTTGTATTCAAGTCTGCAGCTGCTGCCTCTGAACTGCCTGCTTTTTCTGACATCAGAAGTAGTGGTCTGAGCCAATCACAATTCTTCCCCATAGGATTGGCCAAGACCATCAAGGAGGCAGATCCTGCACAAGTCAAACAGCCTTGGCAAATCAGTTTCTCCTAATAGAGATGCATTATATCAATGCATTTTTATGAGGAATGTTTAGTGTCTGCATGCAGAGGGTGGACACACTGAATGTCACTAGTAGCCATCTAAGGAATGGCCAGTGGAGTTATCACTAGGCTGTAATGTAAACATTGTATTTTCTCT